AATATCGCAGTGTAATGAGTGAAATATCAAAATACATGAAATCTTATGTAAACAAATATCTATTTAATAAATCTTTTACTACATTTATTCCATTTTATTATAAATATTTGCTTTTGCAAAATAGATGAAAACTATATACATATACAAACAATTAAATGCAAACAATATTCCTACTTCTGTACATAAATGGAATTTAGAATTGGGACAGTATGGTATAGAAATATGTGTTAATGATGCTTTCATTGTTTGCTTTGAAACTTCCAAGGACTCTTCAATCAGATGGTTACAATGTAGAATTCTCCATAGAAATCTACTTGTCAATTATTATCTGCAAAATATCAATGCTGTATCATCGCATTGCTGTTCATTCTGTAAACATCAAGTTGAGACAATTCAATATGTTTTCTAATCTGTGACTATGGAGTGATCGCAGCATGCATACATGTATTCATCAAATAACTTGAAAAGAATATTGATTTGAATGTAATTAACATTTTATTAGGTGAACTTCTTTTGTCTTAAGGTAACATAGTTGTAAAATTTTCAGATCTCGTATACTAAACAATATATATTTTTTCATGCTAAAAAATTCAAACTGCCAAGCTTTCGGATTTTTCTATGTCACGTATACAAGAAATATAGGGTTGTAAAATATATTTTAGCTTAATAAATCTCATAACATAATACCGAGCAAATATGGAAAGGTGTATTTGACAATTATTAATTTCTCATAATCTGAATGAGTTTTTTTCTTATTTAGGTGTATTTATATTATATATTTATATAAGTATTTTTTTTTTCTCTTTCTTTTAAAATATACGTATTAAACAAGTAAGCCCCCCTCATCAAAATGGATGAGTGTGAATGAGAAAGTGCGGAGCGAATGGGTAAAAAACCCAGTATGTACAATATCATATGTTTGCTTTCAGCTGAAAAAATGCATAATAAAACGTAAAAAAAAAATATGCAAATTCCATGGTTCCTAAAATGATCTTGGTACAGTATCGGTACAGTACAATCTTCCTAGGTAGGTAGTTGGCCGTATCATATAAAAATTTTTAAGCCTTATTTTTCTACTGAATATCTTGTTTGTTTTGTGCAAAATATGCTCAAGGAGACAGAGAACACAAAATGATTTATCTTGTTTAAATGTATGGTGACTACTGGGATACCTATTGCTCCTGCATGTGTACATTTGCATTACAGTTTTTACACTCAATGACATTTTTAATTTCTTGTGGGGAAAGTTGCAATCTTGCACATATCTCTAAATTATATCTGTCTTTAATTCATGACATTTGTACCTAATATCAATTCTATTTTATCTATATCTGCAAATCAATTGTACCTATCAACAAATGGGTATAATTGAAATAAACATATCCACAATTCTTTTGAGGATACGTGTAATAATTAGATAGGTTCAAATATATTTATGCATGTTAATTTAGCGTTTGATTCAAATACGACAAAATAAATTTCTCAAAAACCACCGTGTTGATTTCATACGATGGAATATGAATGATTGATTGGTTATTAATTGTTTTTCATCCCATTCAAGAATTTTTCACTTATATAGAGAGTCACCATATACCAGTGAAGGGCTTCAAATTTAGACCTACACTCGGCACTTAGGGCCATTGAGCAGTGAGGGTTCTTTATCGTGCCAACGCCTACCGTGACACGGGACCTCGGTTTTTAAGGTCTCATCCGAAACACCCGTGACTTTCACTTCTAATGCCGGACGCCGGGAGAAGGAACAGTCACTACCTATGTTTACGTCTTAGGTCTTGACGAGGTGCAGAGAATCGAACCCGGGCCCCCCGATCACGAAGCGAACGCCCTACCAATAGACTACCGTAACCGGTACGATGAAATGTGAAGATAAGCTTAAAGTCTACTGAAAAAATGCAAAATGTGAACAGAGCAAATACGGACCTCTAAAATATCAGAGGCGATCAAATGTAATGTAAGAGTAAGCATCCCCTGTCGACCGGTCAAACCCACCATGTGCTTCTTGTTATACAGTAATCAGGTAAGCGGAAAAATCCCGACAATTCATTGTGAAAATAATGGCCTAAGAACGTCAGTCAAACTTCGACTTAGATTGTATTTGCTAAGAAGGTAATTCTATTGACCATAGAAGTTGCGAAATTTCACGTTAAACGAGACAGCTGATATCTCCGTATCATCAACTTATTTATCAGTAACATACCTCGTTTTAAAATTGTTCGTAGGTGCCCAGGTGTATCGAACCAACTTTGAGATATAAACTCCGTACGTAGGTGAATATGATATATTATGATATATTATAACATATATTAGGGAAGTTATCGATAGAAATATTGAAGTCATGATGTTTATCATAAATGAAAATTAAAGGGTAAAGGTAACGAACAGTGATAAACATTAAGTTTGTAATTTGCCGCCAAGACCTGGTCTATAAAGACCAAATAGATATTTTCAATCAGAAACTCAAGGTCACGGATGTGGCATACTCTGTAGTGTCTTTTAATATAGTTCACTGGGATAAATCTGGTTGATATATGAATGAAAGTAACTATTGCTAAATGATAAAATCGATATACACGTATCTATTTGTTGATTTGAAGGCTGCAGCAAGAGTTCTCTTCTTCTCTTGCTTCACGGGAATATTTAAAAAAGTTTAGATATTAGTGCTCATCGCTATTCCAACAGATTGGTAGAAGATCTGGTCTCCAAAGACTACATAGAATTGTCAATAAGGAACTCCATCATCCTTTTAATATCAACTTCAGTGTACTTGTATGTAGAATCAGAAGGATTTTTTTTTCTAAGTAATTTTGTAGAAGACCAATCACAATTACATCTGATCAAAGCACATACCACAAAGAAATGTATAATCTCCCGCACAGAAGAGCTACATTGCTACATTTTCGTTATGTCTTTCACTTGAAGTCTAATTAAGGAATTTTAAATTGTGTAAAATGTTATAGCATACTTTTAAAATATTCCTAGAAACTTTACAGTAACAAAACCTCATATATTGCTAAGACTTTTTAATTTTTTTTTCAACTGTAAAGTAACATTTTGGCATTTTTACTGCCTTATGTGACTTGGAGAAATATTAGGTAGTTAAACTAAAAAGATATCATTTCTCTAGTGAGAGAGGCACCCACTATAACGATATTTGGATTTTTGAAGAACAAAAATTTGAGTAATTTACTTTTGACACCACTTCTTGAATGTGTTGTTGTACAATAGTCATCATTAGAGTCCTCGTAGAACATTTATTAGAACCTGCTTTGTATCTTTGTCTGTAAGGATTTTAATGTAGTTAAGAAATCCAGTACAGGTATTAAAAATATTTTATTTGAAGCTGACTTATGATTTTGAAAAAAAAAATCTTCCTTAGAAAGGGCATGATGCATATGTACTCAAACTCCCTCGAGTATTTTCATTTATTTATGCCACTTCAGTCGGGGTAACATATTCTTATTGTTTCAATTTTCAATATTTATTTCAATTAAAAGTCTAATCAGAAAATTTTAATTAAGTAAAATGTCAAATAGACCCCAGAAAATGTTCCTAGAAACTTTTCAGTAACAAAACTTCACATATTTCAAAAAAATTTCAAAAACTTTTTTTTAGCTGTAATGTTACATTTTCCCACTTTTTACCAAGTTATGTAGCTTGGTCACATACATTTGATTAACTAAACAAATATCATTTCTTTAGTCAGAGAGACAGATATTTAAGCAAAGATATTTAAATTTTGGGAAGAAAAAAATGTTTGTTATTTATCCTTAAAACAGAAAATTAAGAAAAATTCAATTTCCTTATTATTAGTAACTGTCCTGCCAATCTTTTTGAAACTTTGTTGAATTATTTCTTACATCATTTCAATCTGTTGTTAGGTCGAATGTTGACCGAGGTTTTTTTTAAATACAAATTATAGGGCCATTACTTTCATCTGAATTGATCAGGGATTTTTTGTTTACCCAATCATGACCAAGATAACAGGTTTGACAGGTCGATAGAGGATGTTTACTCCTCAATGGCACCTGATCCCACCTCTGATGCATTATTGGTCCTTGATTGCTCTGCTCACATTTTATATTGTAATTAATGAAAATGAATGTCGCTACTCCTTAGTTTGCTTTCATTAATCAAATTGATTGATAACATTTCTCTAGGATATCATGCTTTCATAATTTCGGCTGAGGATCGTTCGAACTGATGCCTTCATTAAAGGCAAATGCTGAATCTTAGAAGAGATTTATAGCAGTCTATTTTAGTTTGATTTCCTAAATAAAACATTCTTGAAAGCAAAAATGACATTTTACAGGCGTCGGTTACCGGAAATCATGTTCCTTTTCATGCAATACAGAGATAACGAACAGTATTCAAGCTCAGAAGTCCATTCAAATAATACAAATCAGGAGCAGAGCAAACACGGACCTCTTTAATCATTAGAAGTGGGATCAGGTGTCATGGAGGAGTAAGCATCCCCTGCAGACCGGTATATCATTCTGTAAGTACATGTATTGCAAGATGTTGACATGCTGGTTTAATCTCATGATGCTAGGGTAATGTCACAGATACGGTCAAAATTTTTCATGGGAATAAAAAGGGATATATTTTTTTTAAAAATCTGATGAAAAACAGCAGTGCCAAAGTGACTGGGTGAGTGTTGTGGCCCATGTGTCTCTAGACTAAGGATACTATGTTAAGGCCAGGTGAACTGACAAGAAACTAATGACTAACAATATTCATAATAACAGTACTTCTCAACTTAATATGAATTTTTAAAATTCGTGGTTTTAAGAATGGTTTAAAAATGATTTTAAAGAAACCTTCTCATGTCAAATTATTCCTCTCATAAGACTGATCAAGAATCGATATTTATACTCTTTGTTATCTTGACGACTTAAGACTTTCTGTTTGTTTTCCCTACAACGTTAAATCTATATAATGAATGCAGTTCATATTTTCCTTTTTCATAAACAATTGTATAAATCTATTTGTTCCATGGATTTAATGAAAATGATATGTTTACATATTTTTTTTACTCATGATAATTCTTATTTTGTAATTAAACAAAATAGCCTTCATCAAAATAAAATCCTTTGATTTGTAGAAAACTGCATATCAGAGCAGATGCATCTCAGACTGAAGTTTTATTCACAGTATAATTCATGATCGTCAAATAATGTGTAAATTAATTTGTTCTTTACAGTGACCTATACTGAACTTTAGAAAAATCTAAAAAGGAAAAACAAATCCAAGTTAAGATAACCGTAATTATCCTAAGAAATTGCACGTTGATCGGGTAATATTTCCTGTTCTCTTTTCACGTGCTTCTATTTCCAGTTCAGTTCCACTAAAGTTGACACGAACTGATACAGTTCCGTCCTCTCCAGGTTTTCGTGGCTTCACTTCAATCTCCATTACACCAACTAAGTGGCAAGATGGGTCGTCCACGTATTTTGGGTCTTTTTCTGTGGAGGCATATAGTTCAAGCATTATTAATACTTGGTCATCTTTCAGTGGATGATAATCTTTCGGCTCTTGAAATTTTCCAAGTTGAAGCATCTCTCCTATTTCAACATGTTTATCAAAAGCATCATCGCAGTAAAATCGTCCACCGTGCTCTGTTTTCTTTTCAATCTTATCTTTGCCATCAACGAATGGTCTCTGATTTGCAAAGCCATAAGTGTATCGACAAACTCTTGATCGAATTATAGTAGGGTCAAATCCAAACAAAACAGCTCCTCTCAAGACAACGAGAGATGGATCCTCTGGCACAAGAACTTTGAAGTTACTGAAATGTTCTCTGAGAATTTGGATAAGGTAGGGTGATTCTGCAAATCCTCCAACAAACAGAATTGTTTCTGTATTGCTCCCATTTTCTAAAATGTTTTCAACACAGTTTTTAATTCCTGTGAAAGAAAATTCAAAGAAAGATTTAAAAAGTTTCCATTTTATATATAATTTATCCTTTTTAACTTCAACTTCCTCTTCATATCCGAGAGATTTTATTCTTTCATGGAAGTCTGAATTCTTAAGAGTCTTGTACTCTTCCACAAATGAAAAAGGAAACCTGATAACAACCCTTTCTTGATCGTTAGATTTTGTTGTTGCTCTCTTTTTGTGTTCAAAATTAGTAAGGATTTCAACCCAGTCAGATGGATGTTTTTGTTTGACCATTTCTACAACACTGTCTCCGAATAACTCTTCAATAAATTTTATAAATCTTTTATTGACCTGGTTTCCACCGTAGTCTCCACCGCTAGCTTTGTGAAGTTCACGGAGTCCTCCGCCTTCAAGGACTTGATGAAGAGTTATGTCTACTGTACCACCTATACAGCAAAAAATACTGATATGCTTGTAACATGCAACAATTATCTTAAATTTATTCATATAAAAATTATTGGTTAAATTTAATGTTTTTCTTTATATCTTGATTATGCAAGAAGGAAATTCCATTTCTAATTTCAGTTCTACTTAAGTACCTTGTATTTATCTGACTTTCCCCGATAAATCATTCATTGATATACATTTTCAATGTCTCTCTGCATTTAAACAATTCATTTAAAAAGTTTTTATTATGTCAGATAAAATTGAATTTAGATTTACCTCCCATATCTACAACTAAATATGTAGAGTTGTCTGGTATTGAACATAGAGTTTTCCTTACACCTCCTATTCCGTCATTTGATGAGACGTACACTTCTATTGTGCGACATAACACGCTGGCTGTTTCCGGTTCTAGTGCAATTGCCAATTGACTTAATGGTATACCAGCCTATTGAATGTTTTTAAAATATTTTTGTTCATAAAATGAAAAAGGAACTGAGCACTCATCATTCCATAAACTTCAGGAAAATGAATGTATTTTCAGTCACTCAAAAAGTGAAATTTAGACTTGGAGAAGTACATACTTTTGCGGCAGCCTCTCGCATAAAGTATTTAGCTTTCAGACTCCAAATGGCAGGTACAGTTATCACCCAAAATATATCGCTCGTCTCAAACGATGATCCACCAAAACGGTTGGCAAAATTTGAAATCAGATTATCGGAGAAAAACTTAATTACACTTGAGAAAACTACTATTGCTGACAAACTTTTCTGACCCGTTACATCTTGAATTTTAGTTTCCAATGATAAATCCTAAAAATGATAAATATTTTTAAATAAATTGAATGCTTGAAAATTATTTAAATTCATATAATAATCAGTACCAGATAATATCAAGAAGACGCCTTACTGGAGTACACCGGACCAGATCAGCATACAGTGCAGGGAACTAATTTTGTTACATAAACCAGCATCATCATAAGCATTAGTAGCATCAGGATCGAGCTAGCATCAGCATCAGCATTTAAAAAACAGCATTACCAGGATCAGCATCAGCAAGCAAAGGATAAAACCAGCATTGACCTACATAAAATCAGCATTATCCTACTAGCATCAGAAAATCAATGAGTTTTAATTCAGTAAAAAATCAAAAAAGAAAGAAAGAATGTTGGTCAAATATTCACATTATTGATACATAGTGAGATATTATGATCAAATAATTGTAAAAGGCACTTTTATTGCTTTAAACGACAATGCTGAAATTCATTATCTACTTCCGGTAGCATTGACCTAATTATAAAACAGCATCAGGATAAGGATTACTAGCATTAAATCAGCAAGCAAAGGAAGCATTCAAATCAGCAAGCAAAGGAAGCATTCAAATCAGCATCGATGCTGTAACAAAATTAGTTTCCTGCACTGTAAATCAATATGTTTTATTTCAAAGATTAAACAAAACTCAAGGCTTCGAATCTCTTAAATCGGGCACATTGTTCAAGCCTCCCTGGTAAAGATTTTCATGAAGAAATTTCTTTTCATTTCTGTCACATGTAAATTTCCTCAAACATCAACACTTTATTACAAAAGAAATAGGACAAGTCAATCACATACCTCCGTCTTATAAAGAAGCATTTTAAAATCTTGGAAAAAATAAAATTTATCGAGATCCTCTTCATTTGGATTATCTTGCATGTACGCAATGGCTTCGTATCCAAACTTTAGAAAGGACTTATCTGGTCCAAATAACACTGCCGTTGGTGCTTTGTTTGTCATTGTTTCACTGCCAGACCACGTTGGAAGTTGTATTTTGGTTTCAGAATTGTTCAATGCAAACGCATAGCCGCTGTATGTTGTCCCAAAATCTATTGCGGCCATTACTGGGTATTTGCCAAGACGTGGTATCTGAAAATTATAAAAACACATACATTGTGTTGTGATTTTAACCTTTTTGAAATGACATACCATACAAAATATCGATCTTTTGATAATATTATTAGTTGTCAAAAAAATTACTCACTCTCACATTTGTCTCTACAATGTCTGCATAAATTCCTTCAGGATTCTACAATTACGATGAATGAAAAATAGTTTTACTAAATAACGAAGTATTGATTGATCGAATGATTGACTGACTTATAGTTAAGCGAAAGGTGGATCTCCTCTGTATATATATTTGAAATATTTACAATGATAAAGAAATAGCTCAGGCCCGTAGGAAGCAAATTCAGGCTTTTGGGGGGGGGGGGGGGGGGGGCACAGCCATAAATTTTCAGTTGACAGTTGAGGGGGCACAACCAAAAATTTCCTGACAAGCAAAAAAAAGGTCATCAACTACCAAAAATTCCTTGACAAGCAAAACAAAAAAAAAGAAAGAAAGAAAAAGAAAAAAAAGGTCATCAGACGATTTTATTGAGGGGGCACAAGCATATAATATCTATGTTTACTATAATAATCTATATATCGGCAAAATTATTGGGGGGGAGACACGCCCCCCATGCCCCCGGTTCCTATGTATCCCATGTATCTATTCAATACATATATCATAAGGGACAATCACATGTAAAAGATAATCCTTACTGACATTTCACACACGTGTGCATTTACGCACAGTGTGATATGCCTGCCCTTATACCTATTTATTTTCCATGTTATCATTTTGATATTGGAGACCGCTTTGATAGGAAATGTTTTAATCTCTAAGCTGTACAAAATTTATTATAAAATATTTATTAGGCTGAAAACTATGCAGCTGAGAAGCGAGTTTTATCGATTCTACCCTGCGCAAAAGTTGTAACTAGTGCAGAAGTAAAGATAAAAAGGGGGTATATTGCTTAGTGCATAAGCCCCTGTGTTCCTTACCGTATTGCTTTTCGCGCCAGTTGATGTCTCAAGACTGAAATATTCATTCGAGGAATCATTTTGATTTTGCTGAAAGTAAAATGTTAACTCTTAGACTGAAGGTTAAGTTCATTAAGATTTTCATTACAGATGTGTTTGAACTTTTCATTATTAAATATAATGAGTATATTATAATTAGTAATGGATTTCATTTTTCCTAGCCTTTATATCTACATTCTTTGAAAACATGCAGTTCCTTATTGCTATAAACAGAAAAAAAGTACGCTAATATGGTAAGTATTTGACTTGAGGTGGCCTCAAACATAGATGCATGTATGTGGTGCGATTTCTTTACATTTATCTGCATATACAATACAATTCGTGGCTTGACTGAAACTTAATTTTGACAGTTAAAGTATTTAGGTACAGTGGACATGCACGGCAAGTGTATGAGTAGGTACATAGGGATGTTCTCATACTAAGTTGACTGTGCAAATGAAATACATGCATACCATTACATGTACATACATCATATAATTTGCATGTTATTTTTCTTCTAAAATTCAGAAAGAGTAGCTTCATGCTGAATATATACATATCAAAGTATTATAACTTAAAATAAATCAACACAAGTGATGAATTAAAAGAAGGAGAAGACTAAAATAGTCTCAAACATGAAGAGTAAAAAGAGCTTGATCGTAAACATTTTTTTTCACTATACGAGTACAAGCCATAATAACTAATTAAAACTTACACTTCGGATTTTATCATAAACATGAAGGTTGGCACCAGGAATGTGACTCTGGGTCGAAAAAAGTAAGATCTAAGATTTCTCATTGTATTTATGCATTTACCTTTCTTTAAAACAGTTTTTAGATAATTCATGAGTACTGAAAACAATTCAATAATTTTATATATGTCATTTTCATCCCGTTGGGGGGGGGGGTACTAAATCAAATATAAAATAATAGAAAGAGAAGCGCTGGCTTGCAGTATGCTTCATCTGTAAAATATACTGGAAGAGATCCCTTTTGTGCCTTCCTGTTTAGATTTTAATACTATTTTCTTTTTGTTACTGTAGTCTTAAAGAATAATATTTCTAATTGTGTAGGATGGTATTTATTGAGTAAATATGATTTTCAGTACATTTAAAAAAGTTTGATAATTACCTGACATAACTGAAATTCTTACGATGGCTTAAGACAGTACTAAGAAGTAGGATATTGTCATTTGGGTTGTAAAAGTACTTTTGTATTAAATACTCACATTAATATTATCATAGTTGTTTCTGTGTTGATTCGCAGTCAAACCCTTAAAAAAGGAAATGTTTCTCATAGCATTTCTTCAAAAGATGTGAACCTCATTTAATCCAGTTTTATGATTTCAAGTACACTATATTGAAAACAATATTTCTGTATTTATTAATTCAACACGAATACAATTTCTCTGTTAATTTCACACGAGGGGAAAATATTATGGTTCGTGTTAAAATATCCAAAGCTTTTTGTCTGTGTTAATACATTTTCCTCATATTCTTATGGAAAAATTAAAAAACTGAAAATAATAAGTTATCTCGGTAGATTTGATAAATCAAGCCACTAAAATATTGACTTACCAACTGCCGTCTGTTTCTGGACAAACAGTTCCCCATCTCGACCGTTAATGAAACTAGATTTCACAGTAAAATGTCAACATTCAGTAGCTCTTTTTTAACTTCTAGTTCACTTTCGATAAAAAGAGAAGTTTGTGTTTTTAATATATCCAGTAGCAATCAATCATTTATGCCTGTAATTTTCAATATTCCACTTCTGTTATCTACAATGCGTGAACATCGTAACAAGCACATACTACCTGTGTGTAAACATAGGTGAATTTCGTGACTCAACAGATTATTTTTTAACAGTGAAATGCGTATTTTTTCAGTTGCATGTACTTTATTTTTCGAAAACTGCCAATTCTATTTTGTCCATTCTTTTGGATGCTTATTTTTATCGTATTCTAAAATCAAAAACGGAGAACAGAAAATGGCGATAGAATCATACACAGGTGATATCGAAAGAACGTAAAGCTAAAGTGACGTGAGGTGTACATAACAAGGAAGTTTTTAAGAAACCTTCAGAAATCATATTACATGTTTAAGTACCAGCAACTTAACCTTGAAAAAGCACGTTATGTACAATTTAGGAAGTTGTATGACTTGGCTCTATTTTCATATCAAATGTTGCAATTCTATGTATGTTGTAACGACGCCCTTTTTAGAAATGTGTTAATAAGGGGAATGTTTCTTTTCTTATTTTTTGGTACATATAAGTTGGAGCTTGACAAATAATATTTAAAATAAAAACCTTATCAGTTACATACATGTATATAATAGTTAACATATATAAAAATTGTATAAAGTTACTGACCGACTTAGCAAATATATATACTAAATGAGGACCAAATAAAAATTAAAGTACATTCAATTCCATGATTTCGGAAGTAGGCCTACCTGTAATTGATACTGTAAAATCATTGGATGGGAACAATTTATCTTATGATGAAAGAAACCAAAAAAAATATTTGAAAAATGTGGATGTTATGAAATTTACAAGTGTCATTTTATGATCTGATGAATCAGATATAGCCACTTTGCCTTTTTTCCTTTCACATTCCACTTTTAAAAGAACACTTGATTGTTCAAGAAAATTATGCTATAATTAAGCTAAAAACGTGATATAAGTAAAGGGGAAAAGGGACAGTGCTAAGAGAAGGGGTGGTTACAAGGTTATCCACAATTCTTATAAATAAGGAACAAAAAATTATATATTACAATAAATCTCTGACCAGGCTCGATATAATGTACATTGATGGAGCATATTTCATCGGTTGGAGCTAAGCTTCAGTCGTTTGTGTTTAACTTAGTATTTTTAAAATCTTTTTTATTGCAATTGAGTAAATGAAACTTTCTTTAATTATTATTATTAACTAAAAGATTAACTAAAAGAAAATAATACAAACTATTCAGAAATGAAATGATTAATTAAAGAAAATTGACGGTGTAGTTGAATTTACAAACCAGACTATATTATTTCCTCTTCCACGGAAAGTAGATAAAAGCTATACTCCCATCTTCTAACGATGTCAAATGTTCACAGTAAATCATTGGCGGTCTTTTTAAAGAGCATCTTAAAGTCGTATTAACCACGTGAAACATGCTAATATAGTTGAAGATATTAGATAAGAAATGATGAATATGGGAAATTCCAGGTGATTTTAGTCAAAATTGAAACATTGGCAAATATGCTTCCATCTCAGTATATCGTATTAATAAAATTGTTACGGTTGTTTGTATAGTTTATTTTCTGGTGAAATACAATTTGACAGCACATCAAACGAACAAACAATTCAACTGATATAGCGTGTTTTAAATCTTCATTATTTTAAATCCGCCAGTAAATTAAGTCTAAAAGATATTTCATAATACATATAAATAAACTTGAAAGTTCTATCAACAATTAAGAACTTCCTCTATATATGTAACTGATTAGCGGCAATTTAAAGTAGCTGTTGATGGTGACAGTTTGCAGTTATTTGAAGTAATCAATGGTAATTGGCTGTTGTATATGGACTTCCTTAGTTTTACCTGTGCTTTATTTTCAAATTGGTCAAAATATTGTTTTATTTACAGAATAAAAGTAACCCTATTTTAAAGTTGTGTTCTGCTTTTTATTTGATAATACCTGATCATTTCCGAATAAATGTTTATTTTGGGGAACAATCACATTCGAAAATTATAATTATTATAACCAATTGTAAAATATCATAATTTTTCTATAATTATTTTTATTTTTATTATTTTTATTTCACGCATGTGAGATAATCTATAATATGTTCATTTGTTTTAAAAGTTTCTATCTCATCACAATAAAGATGCCGAATACTACTACATGTATCATGAGATATATCACCCATGTATATGTCATTATGTGCATGCACACACATTTTGATAAACAATTACGTCACGAATATTTAATCGAGATTCCTCATAAGTATTCACGGGGCATCAATAACGAATTTTTGTTTTCATTATAATCTGACTCTAAGATATGATGATATGGTACATATGTAGAAATAACAAATCTCATAGAAAAGACAAAAAAAAAAAATTGGTACTTCTCCATATAAACATTAAATGAGATGAATCAGAGAATATGCATTAATCACAAACAATACAGTATATAACAGAGAGAACGGTGATGGACACAAGAGCAGGTTCCAGAAGTACTTTTTACACAGAATCACTCGAGATCTTTTCAGGACAAAATACATAAATGATTTTTATTATACTTACATACTGCTTGTATAATACAATATGGTACTGTGTGTACAATTTTATGAATATTTTGAAATATTTCATTGATAAACATATTTCACTTTATCAATAAGATTCATCAATCTTGGTTTCGTATGTTATCAAGATTCGCTTCTTTAAATATCTTTACATTAAGTATTAAGTAATGAGGTAAACAATATCACATGCTTGATGATTGTAGATTCATGTGATGCTAAGATTAAAATGACCTGAAATATTATACATTTTATCTTCCTTACTTAAATGTCCTAGTTGCACCGATAAATAAACCACTAGAATTAGGTTTTAATCAGAGATATAACAAAACAATAGGATTGTGCATTCTCCCATCGACGCAAATGAAGAAGAACGAAGAAACATCCCCTCTATTAAGAGAGAGACAACTCTGGGACAGTCATGCAAAGGAAGCATGGACGTCTGGAAAAACGGGAAAATTTCGGTTCCAAGGAGTCACAAGAAATGTTATTTTGGCGATTTTAAACGTATTCTCAAACGTTACAATGAATGTAAGCTTGCCGGTATTTGCCGGTACAATGGATGAAATCGGTGGAGATGCTTTTGTTCTATTGCTGAATACATGTTTCGTCATCGGTGTTCTTTTTGTCTTGACTAATCTTTTTGCCAAATGCGTCATAGACAAATCCACTACTTTTAGAATGACATCCAGTATAAAGATAATTTTTGCTCTGGGGCTTTTTACTGCTCTTAATGGAATACTAGTTGTGTTTGCTAGTCCTCCAAACAGGACGCCGGGCTACCTGCAAGGGATTTTATCAACAACAACTATTCCTTTTACAATAATATGCCGGCTTATTTTCCTCAGGAAAGGTATTGCTAGGTTGATATATATACATTATTATAACAGTAACTTGATCCGATTGATTGATTGATTGTATATTGTTTTACGTCCCATTCGAGAATTTTTCACTCATATAGAGACGTCACCATATACCGGTGAAGGGCTTCAAATTTTGACCTTTACTCGGCACTCAGGGCCATTGAGCAGTGAGGGATCTTTATCGTGCCAACGCCTGCCGTGACACGGGGCCTCGGTTTTTAAGGTCTCATCCGAAAGACCCGCAACTTTCACTCCAAAGTGCCGAGCGCATGGCGAAGGAACAGTTGCTACCTATTTTTTATCGACTTAGGTCTGTCGCGGCCGAGATTCGAACTCACGACCTCCCGATCACGGAGCGAGCGCTCTACCGACTGAGCTACCGTGAACGGTAACTTGATCCGAAGAGTCGTATCACGTCGAGTTGACAGGCGCGGATCATCAGATCAAACGAGACACGAAGCGTCGAGTTTGATCTGATGATCCGCGCCTGTCAACGAGACGTGATACGACTCTTCGGATCAAGTTACTGTTATAATGATAAATTTATTATATACCCCCTTACAACTAGCAAAATATAGTTTTAAAAAAACTTTTGAGATCAATTATATAAGATTTTCCTATTAAACAAAGCATTTTGTCAAGGAATTTTTTGATGCGCATGAAAAATAACGTCACGTTTCTGTGTACTACTTCATCAATTTCAGAGATTGGTGATATGGATTCAGAAAACCACAGTGTGGTGATCCGGAAAGTCGGATCACACCGTCAAGTGATTGTACGAAATCTACAGTAAAATTGAGTGATACACACTTGGGTATATAATAAATGTATATCATAGATGTTTACAGATTAGTTGAAAGTGTATGTAAAGTTCAGCCGAACTGAGTATTTAAAAATAGCTTTTAAACTCAATGCTCTTTTTAGTCATAGAACAAAGATCGTTTTACATGCTGATATATGTATTAAACTAATTAAAAATGCAAAAACTCAAAATATTTTAAAGGAATCACTGTCTAGTTAGTAGAGTATGCCAGGCATCAACGATAGTTGGAAACGTGGGATATTTGCATAACGGGCGAAGCCCGTTATACATAAATTATCCCACGTTTCCAACTATCGTTGATGTCCCTGGCATACTCTACTAACTAGACAGTGATTCCTTATATTTCCATTTCATTGTGAAATAAAATTGTAAATTTGGAAAAATGTAGACTAATAGATTTAAATTACACGAGGCCTCACATGTCAATTTCAATAGTTCTTGCCCACTGACGTCAAACACAAAGACAGCCGCACGAGACTTACATGCATATTAGGCCTCCTTAGCGGCAGACACAAAGACAGCCACACGAGAATTACATGCATATTAGGCCTTCTTAGCTCCTGACCTTTCGCTTGGCGAAATTTACATTCCGGTAGAATGATCAAGAAATCAACTCAACTAACTTTCAAAGAGTTATCACAGAGAAAACAAATAGAAATGGAAATATCCTTGGACATAAAATTGAAATTAGAACTGCTTGGCTGCAATGCCTAAGCAAATCGTGTAATTTATTTTGTTTACTTATATGTCTTTATATAAATTTCTCAGGACTCAGGCTGCATTTTTATGTTATATCTATCAATAACTTATCTATAGAAGTGACGACATTTGACCGACAAGTTAATAAATTGCATGGAATATTTTTATTATTTGCTTTTAAAATAATGTACATGTATGGCTTTATTTTCTACTTTTTATCTGTTGAAACTTGTTAAGATTAAATTACAATGTAGGCTACATTTCCATTCTTTCATTTGCATTGTAATGCCTGTACTAGGCCGTCAAACAAATACATGCAGTGTAATGCAGTTCTGTAAATGGCATATTTCAAACAAATCATTTCTCTTAATTTTAAAGGAATAAGTGTTATACGTGCACTTTGCACGTGCCTGGTGATGGCGGGCCTTTTTATTACCGCTGAACCCCAAATATTTGGTATCAACTCTGCTGACGATTCTAACACCGCCGAAGAATCAACTTCTGCCAGAATTTTATGGCCACTTTGTTTTGCTCTGGGATTTTTACCAATTGGAATCATGAATGTTATATGTGAAAAGGAATTAAAAAACAGTGAGGTTTGTTACTTGATTTGTTGAGTTTAATTACTTTCTTTAATATAAAGTATATAGTATATAAACTGTTTGTAATATATATATATATATATATATATATATATATATATATATATATATATATATATATATATATATATATATATATATATTGAAACCTTTCATAAAGAAAAGCGTTTTGGGCAACCGAAAAAGATAATTATAGCTTTATTTCATAGTTTTTTTTAAATTATTATTTCAGGCAAAATCATTCAACTTCATTATGTGGTCACAGTTCACTCAAATAATTTGTATGGCGTGCTTGTTTTGGACTGACTTTATCCCTGGATTTGGAATGGTGGGTATCAACAAGCGCGCCAAATATTAGACGTTACAAACCTTTTTTTTTTTAAAAGATATTTTAATTTTGATGATATTTTAATTATATTATTTTTTTTCCTTTCAGGCTAGTTCTTTTTCGGAATTCTCTACCAGATACAAGAAAGGGACAACATGCTTGTTTAGCACTAGTTCCGACTGCAAGGGTCTCATTGGAAAGTCCTGGATCTTCTTCGGGGGATACACTTTCGGAAATCTCTTTCAGTTTCTTCTCATCGAATACGCTGAGGGGGCTGTATTCGCTGCCGTGGTGCAGTCACTAGTTGGTCCCATAGCCTCGATATTCTGGACATTTTTTGAATTTAATGTGAAAGAGAACGTTTTTCGATGGCATCCAGTATTTAATGAAACGACTGCTTTCACTCTCATTGGTCTGCTTTTAATGGTACCTGGTGTCATGCTATATAACTATTTCAGCAACAAAGAGGCAAAGAATGCAGTGAGGGAATGTCGAGATTTGTATACAGACCCAGAATTAAAAATAAATAATGCTTAGACATAATTAAACTGAACTTGTAAATACACTGATTATAAATTTTTGTTCTATATTAATTAAATCTATGAAATATGGAGATAACGAACAGTAATCAAGCTTAAAAAGTCCATTTAAACAATACAAATCGGGAGCAGAGCAAACACGGACCTCTAAAAACCATCAGAGTGGGATCAGGTGCCATGCAGGAGTAAGCATCCCCTGTCGACCGTGCTCATTAGGCAAACGGAAAAATCCGTAGACTTTATAAACTTTATTAAGTCTAACGGTAGTTATTCTGTTTTATCTATCATGACACTGTCATAAGATTACTGATAATCTGATTTAGTCTGAAAATGATTTGAGTGTTTTGTGACTTTCAAACATAAATTCAATTTAGCTTATTATGTAGTATATCTTTTTCCTTTTCAAAAATTACACCCTGAAACTCTTTCATCCTCTATTTTTGCTGTTTGGGCGCTTTAAGTATTTTTAGCCAGAATGATTTTAGGTTTAAATATTCAGTTTCCTAATTGATGGAAATGATTTCTCTCTCTCTCTCTCTCTCTCTCTCTCTCTCTCTCTCTCTCTCTCTCTTTTAATATGCGATTTTGCTCTTCTGTAATGTGACTATCTAATACATTATTTTTGATAAGTACATACTTTTGCAGAATAAAGTACGTCTCCGTGACTCCCTATAGATGACAAAGCAAGAAACAGATTAGAGATGGGTAGACCTGTCTGGATACATTGTTTAGTTTTATCATACTGTAAAATTTGCCCTAATCTATTTATCAGTGTTTACATACACGTGTCTAGATCATTTTAAAATTTGTTTATGCAGACAAATCTTACAATTTTCCACAAAAGTATACAGAAAATATTGTACAATTAATCTTTCTTTCTCAAAATTAGAAAACAAATTTAAATAATTCATTATTTTTCTATCTTGAAATTCATACTCAATCTGTCTTACTCTATGCGGCGACCCCCGTGATATGTTATCAAATTCTGATCCAAACATTTTTCACTAGCAATTATATTCATTCACTCATTCAAGGATGTACATGTGTAAATGTGAAAGCTGTGTTTGTACAAAATTGGAGGAAGTATTGAAGAGTTAATTAAGTATTAGGAAGAACCTAACGTGACATACATTAGCGTGTATCTTCCTGTTTTGGAATATGAATTTTCTTCCAGGTACAAAAGCGTCTCGTGAATCTGATCTATTACTTGGAAATGTAAACAATAAAAGAGACTATATTATCCTTACAGCATGGACATGTGGCTACACAAGAAGATGGCGTCGGAGTTTAAGAAACATAACTCTGGTTTTGATGTACATTTTATCCAACCTCACTGGGAATGTGACTTTTCCGTTATTATCGAAAAGATTCAAGGCGATAGGATCTGACAGCTTCGTGTTTATATTTTATACAGTTGTTATAGCTAGTATCTTAATATTTATATTAGTCATTTTTTCAAAGCGTTTCGTCGATAAGACAATATCCTTAACTTTGGCATCAAGTGCTAAAATGGTACTAGCTAATGCTCTGGCCAGTGTGTTCAGCTTTATTCTAATTGTGTATGCCAGTCCTCCTTCCAGAACCCCTCCGTACTTACAGAGTATCTTATTCGTGACTGTAATACCACTAACTGTTGTCTGTCGCGTATTTCTTCTTCGAAAAGGTGAGTATTTGCTTTTTTTCGTTTGTATTGTAATTCTTTCTTTTTTGATGAAATATATGGAGATAACGAACAGTATTCAAGCTCAAAAGTCCATTACACATTACAAAATAGGTGCAGAGCAAACACGGACCTCCAAAACATCAGAGGTGGGATCAGGTGCCATGGAGGAGAGAGCATCCCCTGCCGACCGGTCACACCCGCCGTGTGCTCCTTGTCATGATGGGGAAATAACGGAAAAATCCGTCGACAATTCAGTGTGTAAATAATGGTCTAACAATTATTATGAAGAACGTCAGTCTGCATTTGACTCAATGATAAATTGTATTTGCTGACAAGGTCATTGTATCGACCATAGAATTTACGAAATGATGACTTTAAACGAGACTTCTGATATTCTTGTTTCATCAACTTGTTTGTCAACAATTTAATATATTTATTTAATTATTAATATTAATAATTAATAATAATATTTTATAATTTAATATATATTTGTCAAGTATTTCTACATTGTAACATGACATTAATTCCCCCTCTCTTGTCATATATTTTGTCCTTAGAAAACGTAATAAAAGTTCTGAATGATCTGCCCGAATTAAAAATAAACATAAAATACAGCAGCTAAATTCCTATATGTACAAACTTAAGTAATACATTGTACCTTGTAAAACTTCAGAATCAACAAACTATTATCTGTGATTTATTATTATTCATGTAATATTTCACCATTTAATGGATGAAAAGTAATAGCAAAAAATGGTAATTTATTAATTTATTACAATGAAATTTTACAGGTGTTTCATTTGGTAGAGGAATTTGCTGTTGTGTAGTTGTGGTTGGTTTATTCATTTCATCTGAGCCACAGATCTGGGGACTAAATACACAACAAAAGGGATTCAACACTTCAGGATCCCCCACGGAGAGAATCTCGTGGCCGCTGTGTTACACACTTGGTTTATTCCCCTTTGTCCTGGTCAACGTGACGTGCGAAAAAGAGTTGGTCAAAAAGAATGTAAGAATGATCTCAATAACTTCTCAGACCAATGCAAACAATCAAAAAATATTATGGTAAATAATTAGTGCAAAATGATATCAAATGCAAGGACAATTATAATGTATTTAAAGTTTCACAAATCAACGATACTTGAAAAAGTTTATCATAATGTTCTTTTTGCAAGCATATTTCTAAATTCTTTATTGATTATTAAGAGTGATGCACTGAATTTTATCATGTGGTCTCAGTCTGCTCAAATTATTATGATGACAACATTACTCTGGACGGATTTTATACCCGGATTTGGAATGGTAAGAATACGTTTTTATATAAAAGTATTTTATAAGGTATATATGTGGGTTATATTTTTTTTTATTCTTGTCTGTATGTCGTCGTTCACCGAGCAGACAAAGATATCTTTCACAATGCACTTGACATAAAAAAGAAGATATAATGTATATTATTTTAAAGCTTATAAGTTACAAAAATATTGAAAATAATTACAAATATTTCGCATTTGGATGTGCTTATAAATCTTCAGGTCTATGGAATTCTTTGCCTAGTAAAGAATTTGAATATTCGTATTAAACTTGAAGCTAAGAAATTTTAAAAGCAAAAAGGCTAAAAGTTACTATAAATAACCTTAAAATTATAAAATCAACCACATACATAATCCATGAGAAAATATGTAGTCTTTAGGAGAACTTTTGTGAATAAAATCCATTATTAAATTCCAGACAAGCAACGTATCAGAATTCAAAGAACATGCGAAACAAGGCATAATCTGTTTGTATTCCGTACATGTAAACTGCAGATCCACTCTGGTGAGGTCATGGATTTTCATTTCGGCCTTTACAATTGGAACCATATCGCAGTATCTCCTTATTCAAAGTTCCGATGGAGCAATATTTGTAGCTATTGTTCAAGCGGTAGCGAGTCCATTAGCGACTTTGTTTTGGACACTCTTTGATTATAATGAAGCTGAAGATAGCATTCGATGGAATCCAGTTTTTAATGAAATGACAGCATTTTGTCTTTGTGGACTAGCCCTAATGTTCCCGGGTGTGATTTTGTATAAGAACTTCACTTCTCAGGAGGAAAAATCTGAACAGGAGAATTTATTAGACATGTTGAAATGAACAAAGTAAATGCATTTTACGATAAACATAGCATTTTAACATGGCATTTGATTTGATTCATGTGTTATGAGAAAGTAAATGTTCGTCTTTGAAAATTTATTGTCTTGAGTCCAGAGTTCAGTCAAATTTTAAATTTTGAATATCTTGAGTTTTTATTTAACAAACATGTTTAAGAAAGTTGCAAGTTTGTATGAAACTTGGTATTCGAATACAAATACAATATGATGATTTTAAAAATTACTTTTTACATGTGTACATCTATATACTAATTTGAGATTTTTACTTAAGTCTGTGTACAGTTTATGGTCTTGAGACCAGAATGCCTTAACAAACATAATCCCTTATGTCAATAAATGCAGAGGCTTTTCATATTAAGATTTCAAAAAAATGAAAACAGTAATTTTTATTACAAAAATTATATCAGTTATATAATGCTCTTCATGTAAAGAAATTCACCAATATATAAAAGGTATATCAATGTTTTTACCTGTACATATGGTGCTGGGTTTTGGGGTTCTTTTCTGATGATGCAGTTCTTTCTTAAATGGTCTCAAATATAATGAATTTCAAAAATAAAATGTATAAATTCCATATTTGTTTCTTCTTTTTTATCCGACTTAAAAAATTCAATTGTTTTACTTATATCAAGTCAGACATGTCCCATTTTAAATACATGGACATATGGAATGCTTTTTACAAGTTAGGCCTACAGATTTTATATTGTAGGCACACTTAAACAATAAACCGAAGTAATTTGAATTAAAATTCAACTATATCATGATAAATATCCAAATTATTTAAAATTCAAAACTGCATAAATAGGGTTAAGGAGCACTGTCAAAATTGAGTAATTCTCTAACAACACAATTATATCTATAGTTATATTTCTAACAAATAGCTCTTAAACGAAATATGATTTAAACGTTCAAATATACTTTTGTTTTATGATTTTAAGTACGAAATGGTAATGTAATACATAGCTTCGTTAGAGAGAAATCAATTTCAGAAAACATGTCCTCAGCGGAAAAAAAGCGAAAAAGGAGACGTTAGAGGACGTAGAGGACGTCACGGAACAGCGAGTAGCGATATTTTGTTTCTTACTCGAAAACCTCTAAACAAATTCTAAAAATGCTGGAGAACCCAGGAAATATATATCAAAAGTGAGTTGCATTTGTATATTAATGTTTAAGACAGTGTTTGAGTGGTAGAGACTTTGAATCGGACAATGTACAGTCTGAGTAACGTCATGGAAAGTGATACTGCGTAATATGAATTATGCAGTAAAGAATTTGAAAACACTGACAAACTAACTTATGCTTCTCAAACAATTGTTAACAAACTATGTGTCAAGTATTATGCAGACCTTTTTAATGATTTAATAAGGCGTTGCAAACTGTGCTAGGGAGAAGTAATTGTGTGACGAGGGAGAGTAATTGTGAGAATCTTTCACGACGTTACAATGTAGGTAATAGTGCTCCGTGGTGACAAAACATGCTGAATTTAAAATTAAGTAACATGTCATTGAGTTCGATTTAATCAAATGGAATGGAACTTCACACAACGACAAAATAAATGTTTTTTGCACTTGAAAATGTGTTGATCACATTTTACTTAAATGTGTTAAATCTTGGAAAAAATAATATCAAGAAGAGCGATATTGTCTACGTATTTTTTGAATGTATTTTTTGAATGTCCCTCATAACAGAAGATATTTAAAATTATGTTAAAACACCAACATACAATGCAAAATAAGTGTATAAATAAGACATTATGTCACTTTTTATGTTGACAAGACATCCAAAAATGAGACAATGTACAAGTTACAATGTATAATACAACAGTGTAAAACCTATATGCTTCCGTACTTTACCCCTCACCCACCCCTCCCCCTGAATATTTGAATTTAGTTTTTTTATGCCCCCGTAATCGAAGATTTGGGAGCATACAGCTTTTGCCCTGTCCGTCCGTCTGTCTGTCTAGCTGTCTGTTTATCCGCAAAAACTTTATCATTGCCCATAGCTTTTGATTGGTTGGAGCTATGGCTTTCATATTTAATATCTGTATTCTTTGTGATAAGACCTTTCTTTTGGGTACCATCATATTTGACCTTGGAGTTTGACCAAGTTTAACAAAATATTACCCAACTTTAACCTTGGCCATAACTTTTGAACAATTGGTGCTAGGGTTTTCATTCTTCACATGTGTAATCCTTGTGACAAAACCTTTCTTTGAATACCAACAACTTTGACCCTCTGACCTTGACCTTGTAGTTTTACCTACTTTTGAAAAACTTTAACCTTGACAAAACTTTTGAGCGGTTAGAGCTAGGGCTTTCATATTTCATATTTGTATTTCTTTTGAGAAGGCTTCCTTTGAGCACCATTAATTTTGACCATTTGACCAAGAACTTGATGTTTGACTTACTTTTGAAAAACTTTAACCTTTTCCATATCTCTTCAATGGTTGTTGCTAGGGCTTTCAAATTTCACAGGTATATTCCTCGAGACAAGACCTTACTTTGGGTACCAAGATATTTGATTTGCATTTGAGAAAGTTTAACTTTCGCTATAAGTTACCATACGGGGGCATCAGTGTTTCACAAACACATTTATTTAAGATATCGATTCAATACATAATGTTACATGTATATTGATAAAACGTTCAAGTTTTTGCTCATATTCTCTCTAATTTAAATCGGTCACATACGTGAAGTAATCATATACATGTATGATATTTTGCAATAATGTCTGCGATGTACAATTTTATATACAATACTTTAGTGCTACATTGAGGAATTTGACTTTGATAGATTAAAGCGAAAATTCTTCAAAATATGTCAAAAAATGACATTCATACATGTAAGAGATCATGTAAGATGTAAGACATGTCAAATATAAATTGCCAAAGTTGAAAGCAATTATATAATTGACAATATTTTTATAAGAATATATCACGTTCTAACGCAACAACATGAGGCGGTTAATATACGTTTCCGTAATAATTAAGAAATGCCGGTATTGGATATAAACAAAGTCGAGTTGATGAAATTTGTTTGTTAGTGTGTAGTTTTTAAGGAATAACAGCATACTATTATTATTATTCTGTTATGTATTGATTAGTGTTCTTTATTGAAAAGATCGAAGGTAAAAATCCGCTTGAGAATTGTTTTCAATGATAATGTCATGCAATTATTGCGTTAAATTTGTTTGCCTAAGAGTAGCCATACTTATTGATATATGATTACTTATTGAAATATGAATATTGACAGCACGACAACTTTGTCATAATAAAACCCTAGCGCAAATAAATTAAAAAAAAACATTCATCAATTGACTTCATTATATTTGACTAATATTATGTATTCAAAATCGATTAATGTTCAGCTCTATATTGTTGTTTAATTTTTTTTAATTACATCGGTAGTTAGTACTTCGGTACTAGTTTGAAAATACGGATATATATTTAATTGCAGTGGTAAAATTTAGGAATTTATTTCAAAATTAATGATTATCTCCCTCATGCATACATGTAGCTCTGATCCTTCGACGCATTTGGCTCCAGTCTTTGGCATCTTTTTTCAGCTCTTCCAAAGCTTTTTATTTTAAATATTTTGGATTTCCAACGTTTCAGCTTGAGCATCACTGAAGACAAACTAAAATCCATAATGAATGAAATATATGCCCGAGTGACCCCATGTCAGCCCGAAGGCTGAGGGCTGATATGGTGCCCGAGGGTTGATAGGACATATGATATGGATTAAGTATGTAGTATTCTATTTATCATATATTAAAGATATTTGGCATGCAAGTTCGTATAAAGTCATTAAAACAAGTAATGCATGTTGTCTTTTTCTTTGAAATTTTACATCTACGTCTATGTTAGGTCATTTTAAAACTAATTAAGGCAACACATTTCATCACATTAATTGCATTACATGTATATTTCAATGAATCGTGTTAACCTTTTTAAAAAGTTACATCCGGTTTGAAATGGAGTTTTGCACGCAGATCTGATACATGATATGGGTTTTCCGACCGGTCGTTGGTATGGGGTATTGTGACATCACCCGTATCGCACAGTGCAGAATCGGTGTAGATATGTTTACTTCTAAATATATGATAAAACGTGATACTAAATCATTAAATAGAGAATGATGCATGTGTAACGTGTCGAGCGGTATGTTACTTCTATCGGGGGTCGTACCTTGTCGATACAAGGTTTTGGGGGATGATTTCAATACAACAATTTTCCTTAATTAATGATTTTCAAACGATTGAAAATAAAGGCCCGCAAATATATTCAAATAATATGGCCTAACCATATCTAGGTTAATAATCACGACAATATGAAATAGGTAATCAACTGGTTACAAATGATTGTGTAAATGCAATGGGTAGACTATCACTTTCACTGGCCAACCTCGGACTGACGCTTGTACTGCAGCCTTATTCAGGACTCAGTCAGTACAAGTGACAGTCCTTCAACTGCTGTGCACACTGCTAGCTTTATTCAGGCAGACACACTGCACACAACAGCCTGGTCGCCAGATAGGTCAACAAGACGAATTGCAGGTGGCTAACCTCCCTTTCTGGTTAGCCACTGAGTGGCTTGCCACTCCACAACACGACAGCCTTTTATTTTCCTTGTAGACCTTACTTATTTCATAAGGTCAACCTCTTCTGTAAGCTGACTTTATTTCTTTATCGTCTCACTTACATGTACCGCTGTATGTTCGCACACGTCTTATACTTAGCACAGTTTGCACTGGAAAGACTCTCTACACCGGGATTCACCTTTTTAACACGGAAGTTTATATCTGCATTATTATAGCTAAACCCGAATGGTCACAATATAAATTTCCGGAATACTACACTTACCCTTTTCCATATCTCATCCTGTATCAGTCCGAGACACCAATATCAGCCAGAGGGCCGAAGGCCCGGGGGCTGATACTCAATATAATATGGAAAAAGGGTGTGTTTTATTACCTTTATTACATACTTAGTTATAAAATACTGCACACATCTACTTAGCAAATACAAATAAATAATCATTGATTAGCTTATTAGTCCCCTACCGGTGAAACCGGAGGGGACTATAGGTTTCCCCTGAGTCTGTCCGTCCGTCTGTCTGTCCGTCTGTCTAGCTATCCCTCTGTCTGTCTGTCAGTCTGTCCCACTTGGTTTTCCGCATTTTTTTCTAAACGCTTGCAGATATTGAGCTGATTTTTGGTATGTTACTTTACCTTGATGAGTTATAGATCAAGTTTGCATTTCATTCCGCTTCATTGGTTTTTGATGGAATTATGGCATTTTCAATTTTTAGCGGGAACCACATTACACTTGCCGGTAGGGGACTAGTATTGCTAATGCAATACTCTCAGAATGCTTGTTATACATGTATCAAATAACAATAATTTATAAATAATAAAGAAAAAGGGGGGAACTAGGTACAATATCATAAGTACTGTTTTCAAAAGTATTTATCTCCAAAGGTTGAGATATAAAACCATATCAGACCTGCAGGATCCGTATCAGTCTTGGAAGCTGATATATGTATTGTGAGGTCAGGCATATCTCATATACAAAAAA